CCATCACCAAAAAATTCCCAAGTTACAATATTTACATCCGCAGATCTGAATGACATTTGCGTTTACTGCATTGAATGCTCACATGAGTATATTGCAAAGTTGTGAAAAGGACATTATTGTGCTAATTTGACCCACATTGAACCTGACTTTATTTTATTTAATTAAAATGGACGATCACTCCCAAAAAGCATATTGCAACTCTCCCCTGACTGCAATCTTATACACTTTTTAAAAAAAATATTTATTTTTTTACATTTCTTGCTTCAGCCTGCCTACTCCTGAATTCTTGCCTAGGTGAGAGTTACATGTTCCAGCAGACTCCAGGGACATCCAAGTCAAATATCATAGGGGGTATCAGCTTACAGACAATGGCTTGAGGAGAACGGACCTGGTTTTGTGTCATCAGGGGGCTGCAAAAACATAGAAAAGGAGATGGTAATACAAGACCTGGAATGCGAAGGCAGAGTGCCAGATCACAGCCTGACAAGGATGGATTCCTTGGCGGTGTGAGTATGTCATTTGAGTGTAACCAAACGAAAAAGGTAAGTGGAGATTTAACATTAACCACTTCCCGTCCATAGGACTACCAGTACGTCCTTTGATGGAAAGGGTGATATCTCAGTGCTTTCTTGGTGATATTAGCTGCAGTGATACCCGTGATATCATTTTTAGAGCCCACAAATCTGCATCTTGTAAAAGTAATTTGAGAAGCTAAAGAGCCACTGAATTAATTTTACAGGCAGCGGAATGGGGTCACCCCTCCCACCTGATCAAGGAGGAGCCTGGTAAGGATGTGACCGGTGGCATCCGGTTCCTGAGACACAGTGAGAAGAACAAATGCCATACTTCCCACTGTGTGACATCAGAAACCAAAAGTGACAAGGATTTTGTCACTTCCTGTTCCTGTCTCATGTAAACAAACCATTATTGGCTTGCAAAACCACCGGATCAAATGGATCTTGATTTGATCTGATGCTTTGGAGCCAGAGGAGACATCTGGGGTCTAATAGCCCTCCTGTGGAACTCTAAACTGGTAACCTGTAAAGACCTTAAAGCGTAACCTATGGAGATTTCTGGGTACTGAAGTTTGACGCTGTTCCACAACGTACACATTTAAAGTGTGACATGTTTGGTATTTATTTACTCGGCGTAACATCATCTTTTATATTTTACCAAACAATTGGGTATTATATTGTGGGATTTATGCTCTCCATCAGCATTATAAAATTGATTCTATCAATAATAAGGGAGAGTGGAACAGTAATGCACTTCCTTTGGAGGGCTGCAGCACAAATAGTTGCAAAGCAAAGTTTATAGATTCATTCTTACTCCCAACATATAACCCCAGGAATTGACAGAAATAACAAACACATAGGGGATAGTACTATTATTTGCTTTTGGAAAAATTACAGGAAAATCCAATTTTGTCCCAGTTCTTTACAATTTCTTTCATATAAAAACCTGTCAAATTAAAAATATATGTCAGTCAGCTACCAAATTATTTATCCTAAATAAATGCTTTGGGATTTAGGGAAAAGAAGGCTCCAGGACTCAAGATGTTAAAGTGGTTGTAAACCCATACATATACCCAGTGAAATGACTGGCTTCAGGAGATGAAACAAATTCTCCTGAACAAGTTGTACCTGTTTATCTGCAATATTTTTTACTTCTCTGCAACCATTCGAAGTCCAGAATTTATAAAGCTTGTCTGAGAGAACAAGGTGAGGGGAGCTGAAGTTACACACTGCAGAACTTAATGAGCAGAGCTCTGAGAACTGATTGGAGGGAAGGGACACACCTCCCTTAACACAGCTCACAAAAACAGAGCTGAGGCTGTCAATCATAATCTGTGTGTTTGAGCTCCCTCCCCTGTCACCTCTTTCTCTTGGTGTCAGGAACAGTTGTCAGAAGGGATTCATGCAGATAGTGGAGGAATGAAGCGGGAGACAGAAATGACACTTAGTGCTCTTAATTAAAACAAGTATTATTATTATTATTATTATACAGGATTTATATAGCGCCAACAGTTTGCTCAGCGCTTTACAATATAACTGGAGACAATACAGCAACAATACAGTTCAATACAAGAGGGTTAGGAGGGCCCTGCTCCTTGGAGATTACAATCTAAGAGGGAGGGGCTAGTGGTACAACAGGTAATAACTGTGGGGGATGGATGGGGAGGAGGAATAGAAGATTCCATTATTACCTGGGGGCAGGATAGGATTCCCTGAAGAGATAGGTTTTCAGAGATTGCCTAAAAGTGAGCAGAGTAGGCGATAGTCTGATAAATTGGGGTACAGAGTTCCAGAGGATTGGGGAAGCTCTGGAGAAGTCCTGGAGACGAGCATGGGAGGAGGAGACAAGGGAGCTAGAGAGTAGGGAGGTTGTGTGAGGAGCTGAGAGTACGGTTTGGGTGATATTTGGAGACAAGATTGGTCATGTAATTTGGGGCAAAGTTATAAATTGCTTTATATGTTATTGTTAATGTACAGACTATAGAGGGATATACATTGTTCATTTTTCATATCTGAGGTTTACAACCACTTTAAGTATCAGTAATGATGTCTTAATTTACCTCTACCTAGTGGACAATGTGTAGCTGATGAAATGAATGTGATTACTCAAATAATTATATAAGTACAAGACTCTTATGAACAGGAAAATATTGCCCTTTCCACATTTTATGTGTGATTTGATTGACATTTATGCATAAAAAAACAAGAAACATATGGTGATATTTTCTTGTCGCTTATAACATGCTGATGCTTTGAAAATCATAATAATTTCCCCAGCTAGCTAGGATGTGATGCTCATACAAAGTTGGTTTGGTGAATGGTATATCTCCTCAAAGAAAGATTCACTGTTCTATATTCTGATTAAAGATAGCACAGTTTACTGTCATGCCCAGATAATCTGTAATTAGTAACACCAGCCAGTGTACAATACCATTTACAAAATCTTTTAGATATCTACATGCAAAATGCAATAATAAGTTTTCAATATTTGATGTAAAGTCAAAATAAATAAAACAATGTGCAAAGTTTATTGTTTGCTAGTGGAAGTCTGCTGTAGACCTCTCTGTACTAATACGTTTCAGGCTTTGCTAGAGCTGAGCACCAATTAAAAAGCTTAAGGGAGGCATTATCCAGAGAGAGATCAGGGCTAGATGGGGATTTTAGTCTACAATGGCCTCTTTAATGTTATGTTTATGTCTAGAATCTAGTCTGTTTATCTCACCTATGTGCTTGCTTTTTAATTTTTTTCTAATAACTTTTTTTTTTACAGAAAACATGTACAACATGTCAACCTTGCTTAAAAATGCTAGTTACCTGGCTGTCAAGCTGATCAAGTGGTTTCAACACTTCCTGCATGACCACAAGGAATTATACTAATCAAGAGTTCTGATTGGAAAAGGGAAATAATTGTGATTATAACTAAAGTCATAGTGTAGTCTGTTAGTTTGGATTTGCTCAAAGGTGGCCATAGACATTAGATGATTTTTATCCAATACTGCCAATTTTATTCCCCATATCAGGGGCGTATCTGCCGCAAGGCAAACAAGGCATCTGCCTTTGGCAGCATTTTTCAGGGGGTGGCACTGCCCCCAGGCAGAAGGGACCAGTGTCATCGCTGCAAAGGGCTGTGCTTGGCCAGGGGGGGCATGCTTGTGTGTGCTAGAACGGGGCGTGTTCGGACGGGTTCGTGTGTGCTCGGCGGCGAGGATGGGTGAGGAGACAGAGAACCTGTCAGCCATGGGGCTGCCTGGAGAGGGGGCCAGGTGGCATATAGAGGACCGTGCATTTCTCAGTTGCTCTATGTGCTGCCCGGTTGCCTCTCCTATCCATCTCCTGCATGCGGTCAGCTCCTGTATGCTCCCCCACGGCCGCCCCCCCCCCCCCCACAGCACTGCAGGGATCTGTAAGCATATGCAGTCCCCAGTGCTGACAGTCCCTCCCCTCACACAGACGGGAAAGGAGAGAGAAAGCTGCCCCTCCTCCTGTGTCTGCCCCGCCCACACTTCCAGCCAGCCTTGCGTCTTCTTTCCCCCCCCCCCCCCCTCTCTCTCTCTCTCTCTCTCCCTCTCTCCCTCTCCCCCTCTCCCCCTCCCCCCCTCTCTCTTCTCTTCTCTCTCCCCTCTCTCTCCTCTATCTCCCCTCTCTCCCCCTCTCCCTCCCCCTCTCTCTCTCCTCTCGTATCTCTCCTCTCTCTCCCCTCCCCCCCTCCCCCCCCCCTCTCTCTCTCCTCTCTCTCCCTCTCCCCCTCTCTCTGTAAGGGATTTCCAGCCAGAAGAATCGCGATCGGAAATGCGCGTGCGCATAGGAATTCCCACAGAAGAATCGCTGGTTGTGCGCATGCGTGCAGGAATGTGCGATCACGCACACGCACGGTAAAGATTGGCGCCAGACGGCCTATTTAAGGAGTGCCTCTGCTCATGTTCAGTGCTGACTGGTCTTCAGCTCCCCCATGTCCTGCTTGTTCCTGTGTGATTCCTTTGTTGCTGACCTGGCTTGTTCCTCACCTGACTCTTATTGCTCCCCTGATACTGGTTCCTGACTTAGGCTCTGCTCCTGATCTTGGCTTTTCCTTCTGATTCTGTACCGTGCTGCCCATGTTGATGACCCTGGCTATTCCATGACATTGCTCCTGTTTCTTGTCCTCACTACCTGCCTTGCTCTGGTGCACGACTGGCAATCTACAAAACCTGCTCTGCCTACTACTACTGTGCCAAAATCAGAGGATCATCAGCCTTCCAAGGTCATCATCTGCAAGATGTGCAAGCAACAACTACTGGCACTCTTGTTCCCCTGGGTCCTAGACTCCCTCTGTTTCAACTCCAGTGCGGTCAGGGCTAGTGACACAAGTGAGGCCGACCTCGTTATTTCAGTCTCCCATCAGGTACGTGACACTCACTCCCCCCCCGCTCTCTCTCTCTCCTCTCTTCTCTCTCTCCTTTCTCTCCCCTCTCTTTCTCCCCCCTTCTCTCTCTCCCTCTCCCTCTCTCTCTCCTCCCTCTCTCTTCTCTTCTCTCTCCTCCCACCCTCTCTTCTCTCTCTCTCTTCTCTCTCTCCCTCCCCATCCCCTCCTCTCTCTCACTCCCCCCTCCCCCTCTCTCTCTCCTCTACCCTCTCTCTCCCTTCTCTCTCTCTCCCTCCCCTCCCCCTCTCTCTCCTCTCTCCTTGCTCCCCCTCTCTCTCCCCCCTCTCCCCTCTCTCTCCCTCCTCTCCCCTCCTACAAATAAATGTAAAAAAATAAAATTGTAAAAATGTAAATAAAAATAAAAACCTACTGACACTAGTGGTGGAACTACCAGGGTCGCAAAGGCCACTCTTGTGACCAGACCCTTGAGTTCTGCCACCAGGCTCTGAGGAAAGGGACCCTGGGCATTGGGCTGCTCAGTCCAAAGTGCCCGGGCCTATTTTTTTGTCCCAGTCCAGGCCTGGCCATGACCAATAAAGGGCACAACGTCTATAAAGATCTCGGGTTCTACTCATTTTACTAGGAGGTGCAGTATGTGAGTCTTCTCTGAGGTGCTGGATGTTTAACTATATTGGTGAAAGCTTGATGTAGACTAGACTCTTTGAGTGGCTTCAGAGTCTAACAGGTTGTGCAGCACCCATCTAATGTGTGTAGACAAATCAGATATCTATAGTGCTTGGTATAGACCAGGCCTCTGCAGCTGGTTCCACACAATCTCTGACCATCTCCTGTATCCTGTCAGCAGTCTCTGACTGTCTCCTGTATCCTGTCTGCAGTCTCTGACTGTCTCCTGTATCCTGTCCGCAGTCTCTGACTGTCTCCTGTATCCTGTCCGCAGTCTCCAGTCATCTCCTGTACTATGTCCACAGTCTCTGACTGTCTCCTGTACTATGTCCACAGTCTCTGATCTCTCCTATATCCTGTCCACAGTCTCTGACCATCTCCTGTAGTATATCAACAGACTCTGATCATCTCCTGTATCATGTCTGCAGTCTCTTACCATCCCCTGTATCCTGTCCACAGTCTCTGACCATCCCCTGTATCCTGTCCACAGTCTCTGACCATCTCCTTTAGTATGTCAGCAGACCCTGATTATCTCTTGTATCCTGCCTGCAGTCTCTGACCTTCTCCTGTATAAAGTCCTCAGTCTCTGACCTTCTCCTGTATCCTGTCCTCCGTCTCTGACCGTCTCCTGTATCCTGTCCGCCGTCTCTGACCGTCTCCTGTATCCTGTCCGCCGTCTCTGATCGTCTCCTGTATCCTGTCCACAGTCTCTGACCATCTCCTATAGTATTTCAGCAGACTCTGATCATCTCCTGTATCCTGTCCTCAGTCTCTGACCGTCTCCTGTATGCTGTCCACAATCTCTGACCATCTCCTGTATCCTGTCCGCAGTCTCTGACCGTCTCCTGTATCCTGTCCACAGTCTCTGACTGTCTCCTGTATCCTGTCCAGTCTCTGACTGTCTCCTGTATCTTGACTTCAGTCTCTGACAAACTCCTGGAGGTGGAGCTCTAATAGGAAGAGGTGGAGGCTAAAGCAGAAGGGGTGGGGTTTACAGATGAAGAGGTGGATCCGAAACAAGAAGGGGTGGGACAAATTTAGATGGGGGTGTGTGATTTTAGTCTTGCCTAGGGCAGCACAAAACCAAAATACACCACTGCCCCATACTATCTGTTGGGGGGGGGGGGGGGTGCAGGTGGCAGATGCGGCTATGGGAACACGTTACATGTTTCAAAGCTGAATTTATCCTTTAATTTGGCATGTGCATGGAGAAGCTAGAGAGGATTGTACCCATTACTGGGCTACAATGTGCCTTTCATTAGCTGATACTATTGACAAGCTTAGATTAAAATAGCTAAAATAGCTACAAGTACTTGAGAACATGACATGTTTTTTTTAACACCCTCAGTTGTGCATGTTTCCATTTGAGATTATGTGTGTTTGTGGGGGGGTGTGCATTCCCTCCACTCAGATTTCAGATTACACTCAGGTCTCCTTTCTGAGTTGTGCAGTGTGACATGAGATCTCGCCCCTTACCTCTGGAAGCTCAGAAAAGCTGTGTAAAATGTGCTCTTTAAACAGCAGTAGAGTACAGATGGCTGCAGATAAACAGGTAAAACTTATGTAGGAGGATTTATTTCATCTCTGTATATCACCTGAGGATAGTCACTTCACTGAGTATACAAAAGATTTTACAACCACTTTAAGGCCTTGTTCACACCAGTGTGCAGAGATGTCCATTTTTCTGCATGTTCTCTGCAAGGGCACAACAAAATCAATTGCTCTCTATGTGCCCTGTTCACACCACAACACTAGTATCATGTGCAGATTTTCCCTGTGCAGGAATCTGCAACGTATATAAAAATCATTCAAACGCACATGAAAACTGATGTAAACTTGTGTCTCTGCAAGTGAAATCTGCTTGTCAGTTTTCATCAGTTTTTCTGGTGTGAACGAGGCCTTACTGTTAGTGTCGGTTATATCGTTTTTAATGGAAAAGGGCAGTTGACATGCATGACAACATACCTACACAAAGCATTAAAAAATTTTTTTTGGCATATTCATGCCATGTTTTTTATTAATATTTTATTAAGTTTTACATTTCATCTATTCCAAAAAATAAAAATAAAAATCTCTTATTACTCTATTATCATCAAAAGTACAAAAATACAAAACTTCCCCTTCCCCCCACCATAACTCGATCGCTACATCCCCTTCCCCACCCTCCCTCCACTCTGCATCCTTCCCCTATCTTTGGAAGTCCCAGGGTTTTCATCTATTTCTATTTCCTAAATACTTTCAGTGAGCTTAACCTTCTTAAACTCCTCCCATTTTTTCCATTTCTCACGAAAACACTCATCTATATGGTTATCCTCATCTATATGGTATAGTTCCTCCATTTTATATATCTGATCTACCTTTATGCCATTTTTTTAATCTCCTGGGACAGCCAGTTGATGCTATTGCCTTAACAACTATAATTAAAGCTTTCAGTAAATCGCAAGACAGCTTTGTGATCCTGGGATGACAAGTGTTTACTGTAATATGAGTAATGAGTTTTCTCTATCTACCCACTTTCTAGATGAAGGTATCAGAAAGATGAATCGCAAGACTATGTTCACACAGCAGTTTAGCTGCGGATAGTTTAGAAGCCGCTAAATGCTACCTCTGGAAGTAGCAACGCTGTGCTATGGCTATGGATTATCTGCAGCCAAATTTGTGTAAACTTGGAGGAAGACCAAGTGAAGATGGAAGTCGTATCAGCGAAGACAGCACCCCGCCAGAGGGCTTTGTTTTAAGATTAGTCTTTCATAATGTGCTAGTATGCAATGCATGCTAGCACATTATATTACTTTGCAGAAGGAATTTTCTTTCCTGAAAGTTTTCTACCACTTTAATGCAGGTACATGGTAACACAGACACATATCAGAAATATGGTGGGGTAACATACACTTTGAGATTCCATATGAGAAAGCCGGTGACATCTTTGCAACACTCCTTTCCAAAGTAAGTAACTTACAGCTTGTTGAATAGATGACATCGTTATCCCTTAAGCTATCACACATAGTTACATAGTTAGTCTGGCTGAAAAAAGACAAAAGTCCATCCAGTTCAACCATAAAAAAAAAAAGTTATCATCCTATACCCACAGTTGATCCAGAGGAAGGCAAAAAAAAAAACACAGCAATGATGATCCAATTTGCTCCTGCTGGTAAAAAAATTCCTTCCTGATCCCCCGAGAGGCAATCGGATGTTCCCTGGATCAACTTTACCTATAAATGTTAGTATCCAGTTATATTCTGTGTATCTAAGAAAGAATCCAGGACTTTTTTGAAGCATGACACTGAGCTGGCCAGAACCAACTCTTGAGTAAATCTATTCCACATTTCACAGGTTTAACTGTGAAGAAATCTTTCAGTGTTTGGAGATTTAATTTCTTTTCCTCCAGACGTAAAGAGTGCCCCATTGTCCTCTGTGATGACCTCAGGGTGAATAACTCTACACCGAGGTCACTATATGAACCACTGAACACTACCCTCTAGCTCTTGAAATACTCCCAAACACTCCCAGCAACCATCCCTGAATGTACTGAACACTTGCAGATATTTGCTGAGGACAGACATCACCAGACCTGTCTCCTATTTTCCAATAAGATTTCTTTTGGATAATTTAAATACATTGGGGTTGATTTACTAAAACTGGAGAGTGAAAAACCTGGCACAGCTGTGTATAGTAGCCAATCAGCTTCTAACTTCAGCTTGTTTAATTAAGCTTTGACAAAGAAAAAGGAAGCCGATTGGTTTCTATACTGCAGTGTTTTTTAACCTTTTTCAGTCAAGGCACCCTTTAAAATTTTGCACAATCTTAAGGCACCCCAAAAATGAAACTAATAGTTTTACATAATGTGACATCTACACATGCAGGACACCTAGCGATAGAAGTTAGCTATTCTTCCAAAGTAAATAGCAAATATACCTTTGCACACTGGTACTGACTAGTATACCCTGTTTCTCCTCCCCATCAGTTTCTGTCCCTTACTCAGCTCAATGAGACCCCAGTACTGATAAAGAAAGGCAAACAAGGATGCTGTGTAAGCACCCAACATCCTCCTTGTCAGCCAGTGATGTCTTTGGTTGTTAGGATGCCAGCGATTGGAAGGTTGTAATGGTGCATAATGAAAACCTTTTAACTAAAAGACAGGTTTCATCCATCTGCTGCTGCTTGTATACATTTTTTTTAGCAATTTTTAGGAGTTTGCCAAGGCAGCACTGAAGAAACTTGAAGGCACCCCAGTGTGGAGGTCAGGAGTGCATAGCGCATAGGCCACTTTACAGAGTAAAAACAAAATAACCATTTTCCCAGTGCACATAATCCCCCTAGCTCATATCCCCCACAGTACAGATCTTGCCTAACATCCCTAACACCCCCCCCCCCAGCCCTCTCAGTACTGACTTCCCTCCCAGCACAGACCAGTTTGCTCAACACAGAACCCTCAGCACAGACTCCTTACTGCAGACCTCACTCCAGATCAACCCCCACCAGCATGGACCCCTTTGTACAGACTGACACCCCCACACAGACTTCTCAGTAAAGATGAATCCCTCCAGCACAAACTGAACCCCCAAGCACAGACCCTCCCCCCAGTACAAACCCCTTGGTTCAGACACATTCCCCAGTTCAGACCGCTCAGTATAGACTGACCCCTCTAAATTCCTATATCTCCTTCCAAGCCCACCCTCTCAATGTAGACCCCCCCCCAGTAGAGAACCTTCAGTGCAGATACCATGCTCAGTAGTATAGACACCCCTCCCTGTAACAAACACGGTGCACGACTCCTCACCAACTCCTGACAAAGGACTGGCCAACCTCACACCACACTGTCACAACAATGAAACACTGCCACTCTTAGCTGCACCCTACACAAAGACTTTCCAGTGTGTGGGACAACAATATAGGTGCCAGCAGCCTGAGAGCGATTGTCATTGGGTTAAGTTAATTAAGCAATTAACTCTTTACGCTACCACCACCACCACCACCTTTTGACTGAAAAGGCACAAACTCACAATCTTAGCAAGAATAAATATCAA